AATCCCATTAGATCCCATTAAACCACCATAAAATCCCATTAAATCCCATTAGATCCCATTAAACCAACATAAAATCCCATTAAATCCCATTAGATCCTATTAAACCACCATAAAATCCCATTAAATCCCATTAGATCCCATTAAACCACCATAAAATCCCATTAAATCCCATTAGATCCCATTAAACCACCATAAAATCCCATTAAATCCCATTAGATCCCATTAAACCACCATAAAATCCCACGAAATCCCATTAGATCCCCCATTAAACCACCATAAAATCCCACGAAATCCCATTAGATCCCATTAAACCACCATAAAATCCCATTAAATCCCATTAGATCCCATTAAACCACCATAAAATCCCATTAAATCCCATTAGATCCCATTAAACCATATATGTTAGGGTCACCAGTTCTTCTTCAATATGTCATCCCACAGAGCCCGATCTCGCTCTCTTTCGGAGTCAGGACATGTCCCTGCCGCAGCTCTGTGAGAAATTGAAAGGGCCCATGGTCCTTCAGAAGGCGCAACGGGGGAACCGGGGGCACCAGGGCCCCTGGTGGTGCCCCAGTTCGTGAACGCTAAGTTGGTGCAAATAACTCCCATAACTATGGTTTAGGGCAGATATAACGAACTAGTTAATGAGGTTTATAAACCAACTTATAACTGGGGGGCACCATCCTGTACCCTGCAACGGGGTGGTTTAACCGTTTAACCACTCAAAATGTGGGGTGGTTTAGCCCAAAGAAAATGTGGGGCGATTTTTTACCAGAATGGGATTTTTTTTTACCAGAAAGCATGCAGAAATGGCGGACTGATGATGATGACGATGACGATGACGATGATGATGATCATCTCACGGCCCCCGGGGGAAGTAGTGGCCCCACCCCAAATATCAAATATCATGCCAGATCATTTTCTTCGTGAAGATCATTGAAACCATGGTCGAAGTAAAAAACAGTGATTTCGGTCATATACGTATATATGTATGTACATATATGTATAATATGTACATGTATCTACGGCCCCGGTAGTTAAGATGCAACACGTTTTCTTTGATTCCCTAGTGTTCAGCTCAAGTTAGTTGATGATTTGCCCCCTGTGTCATACCTTCACGGGTAGCCCTTGCGCCTCCTGCCGTACATACTCGCGCATAGGGTGGCTGCTGAAGGGCATCAGGTGTGGCGTGGAGCAGGAGGCGCAGTGCTTGCGGATCCTACGTGACTGCTGCGGTGCGCTGTCCGACCTGGTCGAAACCAAGGTGCCTGTGCAGCCGCCACCACCTGCTGCTGCCGCCGAGGGCCCTGGCCCTTTGGACGAGGGTAAACCGCCCTTGGCAAAGAAAGAGGAGGTCGAAGAGAAGGAAGACACAGGAGGAGCTGAAAAGAGAGCCGTCAAGCTGGAAGAGAAGTGCCCATCACAAAAGGACAAAAGATCTGACAAGAGCCGTAAGAGAAAGGAGAAGGAGGAAGAGCCGGGACTGGAGGAGACTCCTGATAAGAAGCCTGAAGGGAAGCGAAAGAAGACAAAAGAAGAGCAGCTGGGAGGCGACAGAAACCCTGGAGGACTCAGTTCCGGGTCGAGGCCCTCACCAGCTCGAGAGGAAGCTCAGGATTTGCAGACGAGGGTAGATACCTTCGCATCCAACAACCCCAAGTCCTTTGAGCTTGGTACCCTGCCTGTCCGGGGAAGTGTTGGCAGACACTTTGCGGAGGCAGAGACTGAGAGAAGAGGAGCAGCCAGGCCACCGGAGCCGGCTCATCCACCCCGTGGACACCACGACGGGCACCATAGAGCACAGCCCGGAAGCGGCAAAAAGGAGAAGAAGAGCAAGGGAGCGACCCATCGCGCCCGCGGAAGGGAGTGGCGTAGGCGTCACCCCAAGTAGAGATGGCACCAAAGGCAAAAGCCAAAGGAGTTGCGAAAGCGAAGGCAAAAGGGAAAGCCAAGGCGCGCCCTGGCAGAAGGCTGAGGGCCCCTGGCGGGTTGAGGAGGCCCGCACATCGGGGGCGAGAGGTGAGGAGCGAGGACGTTGGTGCAGCATGGACGAGGGGCGACGAGGTGGTGGCCGGCCAAGTTCCCCTCCTGGAATTGGGTCGTGGCGTTCAGGTGGTTTTCACCTCAGCCATGTACTACCACCAGGAATGCAAAGTGGCTGGAGCAATCATTGGGATGGACGTTGTGGAAGGCGAGACCACATTGAGGCTTCAGCTGAGGGGGACAACTCACGAGGGGCTGCTGAAACTTCACAGCGCTGGACCCTTGGAGGAGTTCAGGGTCCACCTGTGTCGCCAAGACTGCAACAAGGAGGAGGTTGCAGACTACTTGATCCATGCGACAACAATGAGAAAGATGAAGGAGGACGCCAAGGAAGAAGGTTGGGTCACCAATCTTCTGAAGGTTCGACCTGCAGACGACGTGGACGAGTTAGGGCAGCTTCGTCAGCGTCAGCAGCAGTTGGATCCCGAGAGGAAGGAAGAAGAACGTCTGAAGCAGAAAAAGAAAAAAGAAAAAGACAAGAAGGTAAAGGAGAAAGACAGAAAGGAGAAGAAGATAAGGAAAGAGAAAGAGGAGCCCCAAGACGGGAGCAGCAGCTCCTTGAAGGAGGCAGCGCTGGACGGGACTCAGGCCAGATTGGCCGCTCGAAAGACTCACATGGCCGTCTTTGCGGGGACAGGACTGGACCCCAGAGAGAAGGTCCGTCGTCGAGTGGCTTCCCGAGCTCGCACCGTGGTCAAGAAAAAGAGGCACAAGAGCCGGTCATCCAGCTCAAGCGGGAGCAGTGGCTCCTCGAGGGCCCACAGTCCCGAGGCCGCGGACGAGGGGGTCTTTCACCAAGGGTCCAAGGTCCGTTTGGTGGCAGCCTCGCAGCCAGGTGCCCTGGCCTGCCAAGCCCTCAGTCACATGCGAGGGTTACTGCTTTCGGAGATCGGATCTGCCGACCAGCCAGGAGTCCTGAAGGGTTGTGCGGTAGCTTACTACCGACAGTGCCTCCAGAGGAAGAGCTCAGGCCCAGCACAACGAGAACTCTTCACGATAGCGGCGGCGGTAGACCAGGCGATGTCTGGCAATGTGGCGGGGTGCCTAGACACCCTCCTCCAGAGGATGAAGTCTTCGGAGAGCACTCTGGCTGGAACTCACTGGACGGTGAGCCAGAGACTGGAGATCTTACCCCAAGATCATGTACTCCTCACTCCTTTGCCGGAAATGACCACAGCTCGCAAGGACGTCTTCGAGGAGACCAAAATGAAGTATCTAGCCAGCATGCCGGAGGGGAGAAACGCCTCTGCAAGCGGCAAAGGAGGAGGAAAAGGGAAAGCAGAGGGAAAGGATGGTTCAAGAGGCTCTGGAAAGGACAGAAGATGGGGCAAAGGCGGGCCCCAAAAAGGAGACACCTCAAAGAAAGGGAAGGAAGAGTCCAACCCCAAAGTTTGAGGAGAAAGATAGATGGCATTGAGGAGATAAGGAGGTCGAGGGTAGCAGCCCTTGAGAAAGATATGAGGCGCAGTTCCACCTTGGATGAAGGGGGCTATGAAGAGGGGATGGAAGTGGCCCTCTACCCCAGCTTTGCTCCGGGGACTGCGCCGCCTTTGGCGCAGACGGCACGTGATGCTGTTGGCGAGGCCTGGCAATCATTGCATGAGGCAGCCGCGAAGGTAGCAGCTGAGAATTCCTTTGACTACCGACAGGACGATGAGGCCTGCGGTTTTGCAGCGGACGGCGTGGCCCTAGAGACTACGGCTGACGCTTTTTCTCATTCCGCTCTAGTTGGGAAGTGTTTGGGTAGTTGTGGTGAAATGCTTGGTGGTAAACTCCTTGAGGTTTTAACCCTTCGCAGCCAGCCCACGGGTAAGGGTGATTGCAAGGCTCTTTTCCCCTTACCTTCCTCTAGGAGTGTCCTTTGCAATCTTGGTGTCGAGTTGGGTGTGACGGAAATGGAATGGATGCAATGTGTGGTTCTTTCTTTGAACTCAACATGGGGTGGAGATCTTGAGGGACCTGCTACCATGAGCAAGTCTCAGAAACTTTGCCTGCAAGGGTTGGTTAGTGATGTCAAACGCTTCTGTGAAATGGGAGCCTTCTTGGAAAGTGTCGATTGGTCTGACTTCTTCAGGGTGAGGTCAATCGACTACAAAGGTGATGAAGTAAAGGTGGCGAGAAGTTTTAAGTGGAAGAACATTTCCCCAGCGCTACCGCGAGAGATTGGCCGGGTGCCGCTCTCTGAGGTATGCACTTTGGGGTCTCGTCACTATGTGTTAAACTTCGACATGTACCTTAAGCCTTCCTCTGAATGGTCCCATCCTAGGCACCCTAAGGTCATGGTCAGTGATGAACACTGGGGTGAAGTTTGCCAGGGTCTCTTGGATTGTGGTATCTGTACTTTGCTGGATGAGACGGACAAGGTCCATTGTTGAACGGCCTGTTCGGAGTGAGCAAGGATGACTGGACTGGTGATGGCACTGAGATTTTTAGGCTTATCATGAATTTAATACCTTTAAATTCGTTGTGCAGGCCTATGGCGGGTGACGTTGACACGTTGCCTTCCTGGGCTGGCATGTCGCCTTTTTTCTTACAGCCCTCACAGCAGCTCCTGGTAAGTAGCGAGGATGTGAAGTGTTTCTTTTACACTCTTGCTGTCCCTCGCTGCTGGGTTAAACTCCTTGCTTTCAACAAGGCAGTGCCGGACTGTGTCCTGCCCTCTAACCTCAAGGGCCACACGGTTTATTTGGCCTCTCAGGTCTTGCCAATGGGATTTCTGAATAGCGTGAGCCTTGCACAACACGTACACAGGAACTTGGTCCTGGCGTCAGGCGCCGAAGATGAGGCCCGGGAGGTCAATCCTCCTGAGTGCGAGCATCGCAAGGACCGAGTTATCCCGACATCAACCACGACCTGGAGAGTGTACTTGGATAATTATGATCTTCTTGAAAAGGTCGAGGCGACTCAAATGGTGGAGACGACTGGGACAGCTGCGCCTGGAGTGTTAGCCCTCCGTCAGGAGTATGAGAAGTGGGAGGTGCCACGAAATGAAAAGAAATCGGTGGTGCGGTCCTCGAAATGCGAGGTCCAGGGCGCCACTGTCGATGGACTGCGGGGTTTGGCTTACCCTAGGGAGTCCAAGATTGGGAAATATTTCAGCCTTGCGTGGTCGCTATCTGCCCAGGAGGGTGCAACCCAGAAGCAGTGGCAGGTTGTTTGCGGCGGGCTGGTCTATTTCTCTATGTTCCGGCGTCCCTTACTGGGAGGACTTAACAGCGTGTGGAGCCACATCGAGTCATACAACCAGGACCGTGTCTGTTGGAAGGTCACCCCCACTGAGTGCCGGTTGGAACTTCTCAGGTTCCTTGGCTTGCTTCCCTTGGCCCGCCTGGACTTTAGACTTGACGTTTGTCCCTTGGTAACTTGCAGCGATGCGTCCACCACGGGAGGGGGGCTGTGTGTTTCGCGAGCTCTGACTCCTTTTGGAAAGGTGGTTGCGCAAGGGGCTCTCCGGGGAGAATTCCCTGAAAACCGTGCTGGGAGCGCCATTGTGACCGTGGGGCTCTTTGATGGGCTGGGTGCTCTACGAGTGGCAGCCGATTTGCTTGGTGTCCAGGTGTTAGGCCATGTGTCGGTTGAAAAAGAACCCACGGGCCGCAGGGTCGTTGAGGCTCACTATCCCAATACCATTACCGTGGACCTCGTTGAAAACGTGGACCATGAAGAAATTCAGAAGTGGGCAACGAGGTTTAGCCAATGCTGCGCCGTCGTTCTGGGAGCCGGACCGCCATGCCAGGGTGTCAGCGGCCTCAATGCGGACTGGAAAGGCGCCCTCAAGGATGGCCGATCCTGCTTGTTTGCCCATGTTCCCCGTATCCGGGATCTCCTGAAGAAGACTTTTGTTTGGTGTCCAGCCTTCACCCTCATGGAATCGGTAGCCTCCATGGACACAGCTGATCGGGAGATTATGAGCAAGGCCGTCGGGATGACACCTGTCTCCTGTAACGCCGGCACGTTGACTTGGTGCCAGAGACCTAGACTTTACTGGGTAGACTGGGAGCTGGACGGTGCGTACTTGGAAGATCCGGGGGATGGCACCCCTGTTCGAGTTGTCTTGAAAGGTTATCAAGAATTGTCACAGGTACTCCGGTCGGGTTGGTTGAAGGTTGAACCGGGCCAGGCATTTCCTACATTCACCACGTCCAGGCCTCAGTGTCGCCCGGGTCGTAAGCCCGCTGGCCTCCGCACCTGCAATGCAGAGGAGTTACAGAGGTGGCAGCAGGACAAGCACCGTTTCCCTCCTTATCAGTACAAGAAGGAGCATTGTTTGGTGAATCGAGCCAACCAACTGAGGGTCCCCGACGTGAGTGAGCGCGAGCTCATGATGGGCTTCCCTCTTCACTACACCGCGCCCTGTGCTGCCAAGGGACATCGAAAAGGGGAAGAATACAATGATCAGAGATTAACCCTGCTGGGTAATTCTTGGAGTGTTCCAGTAGTGGCCTGGCTGCTTGGGCAGCTCCTCGGGAGACTGGGAATCATTAAGATGGCAACGCCACAAACCATTTTAGATTCTCTCGCTCCTGGTGGCCATGAGCTCACGCAAGGCAGGCTGGTGCGCCTGCCTCTCAACGCGCCCAGAGGCGACACACAGGAGGGTATGTCGGACCTGTCCTTCAAGATCAAAGGTGAAGACATTATGATTTCCACACCGTCATCGCAGATGGTTCGATACCAACGGCTAAGGGCGAGCGTGCCGTCCACATTGTGGAAGTGGCGGATTGTCACCGGCTGGAAGTGGACCGGCAGCCGAGAGCATATTAACGCTCTTGAGTTACGAGCCATTCTCACCAGCCTCCGATGGCGAATTGAACATCAGCTACACGTGGGAAAGCGGTATGTGCACTTGACTGACAGCCTAGTGTGCCTGCACTGCCTCAGCCGCGGTCGATCCAGTTCCCGACAACTACGGAGAACCCTCTCTCGGATTAACGCCTTGGTCCTGGCTTCGAATTCTCAGCCTGTGTGGGGCTATATCCACACTGATCAGAATCCCGCCGATAAACCCAGCAGATGGGGCCGGCGGGTGAAAACAAAGTTTAGGAATGCCAAGTAAGCGCATTCTGGAAGCATCGGAGCCTCAGGACCGGGCAAACCAACGTCGGAGATTGGGTACTCTAAGGCAGCTGACAGTTCAGCCTGCTACACGTAGGCGTTATGATAAGGCAGTGGATGGTTTTCTCGCTTTCCTTCGTTCTGAAGGTCAGGAACTTCCCAAAAACCGTGATCGTGTGGATCCTTTGGTATGTGAGTATGTCGAGCACCTTTGGGCTACAGGAGCTGGCAGGGCACAGGCATGTGACACGCTAGCAGGTCTTCAGGACTTACAGCCAAATTTACGCAATTGTCTACCGGGAGCGTGGCGTCTCCTGAAAACCTGGCACATCAATGAGATCCCTAACCGGGCTCCGCCGCTGCCTGAGCATGTCCTCCAGGCTATGGCCGGTTGGGCCTTCTTCAAGGGTTACTTCTCCTTTGGGGTCTCTTTGTTGTTGGGTTTTTATTCTATGTTGCGTACAGGAGAGCTGTTAGGGCTGCGTTCGTCACACTTGTTGTGTACTGGCAAACAGCGCCAAGTTTTAATTTCCCTTGGTTTAACCAAGAGTGGAAAGCGACAAGGTGCTGCAGAGAGTGTTATTCTGGGTTTTCAGCCTGCTGTGACACTTGTGAAGGCTTGGAAGAATCAAGTTTCCTCTACTACCCTTCTGGCAAAGAACCCCGCTAATTAGCGTGGTTTGTTCAATGAGGCCCTGCATGCCCTTCAATTGCAATCATGGGGCTTTAGACCATACAGCCTCAGAAGGGGCGGTGCAACTTTTTGGTTTTCAAAACACCAATCTCTTGACAGAATCCTAATTCAAGGTCGGTGGCACCGAAAACTGCAAGAATTTACTTGAATGAAGGACTCGCTGTCTTAGCTGCTATGTCACTCCCTCCTACTCACCCTGATATCCAGCCCTACCTTCGAGTGTATCACAATACGGTCCTGAAACCGGACTTCCGAACACTTGAGCCTCCGGCAAAAGCCGGAAGGAAAGGGGGGCGTGGAAAGAAGGGTCAGAAGAGCAAGAAATCGAGCGTCAAAAAGCGCTTTGGAAGAGGAGATTCATTTTTTCGTCATCAAATTGACTTAAATTCTGAGTACTACTGATTTCTGTATCAAAAGGGGGCCAGGAGGTTTGGCTCGGCACCCCCAACTGAGAGAATGCATCTATCTGACTTTGTCTGGGGTTTGGCCCGACAAGTTGGGAGATGTCCCGTAATGGTGGGTCAGTAGTACTTGGAGTGAATGTTGGTTGTATTTTTGAATCTTTTATTGACACACATGCTGCGAAGCGGAACAAAGTGTAGTGGCTGCATCTTTGTATCTACGGCCCCGGTAGTTAAGATGCAACACGTTTTCTTTGATTCCCTAGTGTTCAGCTCAAGTTCCCTTCCCTCCCACCCGGGAGTTCTGCTCCTGTTGGTGGGTCTTTTCCCTCCTGTTTCCGGGAGGGAAAGAAGGGTCAGAAGAGCAAGAAATCGAGCGTCAAAAAGCGCTTTGGAAGGGGAGATTCATTTTTTCGTCATCAAATTGACTTAAATTCTGAGTACTACTGATTTCTGTATCAAAAGGGGGCCAGGAGGTTTGGCTCGGCACCCCCAACTGAGAGAATGCATCTATCTGACTTTGTCTGGGGTTTGGCCCGACAAGTTGGGAGATGTCCCGTAATGGTGGGTCAGTAGTACTTGGAGTGAATGTTGGTTGTATTTTTGAATCTTTTATTGACACACATGCTGCGAAGCGGAACAAAGTGTAGTGGCTGCATCTTTATATATATATATATTTATAACATGTGATCAAACGTGAAAAATTGGATCGCAATTTGCTTGGTGAGACCTTAAAATCCTAAAACCACGCACGTGGCTGACATCCCATTTGATCGGTGAACATATTCCAATTTTCGCCGGTCAACTCCCAATCTTTGATGGTCAAAGTTCCAACTTTGTTTAAGTTTTTAAACGACCCAAAAATTCAGTTTTCAGTGGTGAAATTCCTGGGTTTTTGCCACCAATTCCTGATTTTTCGATGGTGACATCCCCATTTTTCGTGGTGAAAATCCCCATTTTTCCTGGTGAAAATCCCACATTTTGCTTGGTCAACTCCCCATTTTTCTTCCAGGGGGCCGTGGACCGCATCTGCCGCCCCGGGCAAGTGGAGCCGCTGAGCTGTTCGGAGCCTGGAGCGCCTCGTCGACCAGGCCGATTTTGGGGGATTTCATCCAGAGAAGTGGTGGAAAGATGGGGAAATGCACCATCCACAAGTGGAAAATGGTGATTTTATTTGGTGATTTGATGGAAAGTGAGGATTTCACCAACAAGTGATGGAAAGATCGGAGGAAATTCACCATCCACAAGTGCGATGAGGATTTGACCCCTTTAGCGGAAATCACCAGGTTTGATGGGTGAATCATCTATGAATGGGACATTGTCCATAGTGGAAAATGGTGACTTAATGGTGACTTAATGGTGATTTGGTGATTTTATATGGTGATTTTGGGGATGGCAACCTCCAAAAGGCCATGAAAAGGGAATTTCAGCAGCAAAGATGCGGTGATTTTTCCAGTTCTGATCAACTTGCCCTCTGGCAATTTGTTTACTTTACCCACTAAGAATTGGGATTTCTTCAACCAGATAACCATTAACCAATCCCATTGGCCAAATACCATGGAATTTATACAAAATAACCATTGGGATTATATTTATAAATACCATCCGGATATTAGAAGCCAAATACCATGGAATTTAGCCAAATAACCAGGATCCCAATTTATACCATGGGATCCTCACCCATCCGGACCGGCAAATCTGGCGCAGATGCTGCAGGTCCAACTACGAGACACAAAAAAATCGTTGTTTTTTGGTCGTGCGAAGATATGGGTGTCCATGACATACGTATATATATATGATAACACATATGTATATATATAATACTATATGTACTATAGTACTATATATATATACTCTATATATACTATACATATGTACACACTTATACACATTTTTTAAAACAACATGCAGCCCTCATGTTTAGCATGCTCAAATCCCCTTAGTTTATGAAGTCGCCACTTTTGAGGCTTACTAACCACTTGTCAGGTATGTGTTAGGGTATAGAATCGTACTATTGTTGGTTATCATATCCCAGCCCATCCCCATTTTTTCTTTGCACTTGTACAACTCTTACTAATACCCCTGTGAAATTTGAATGGACACCAATACATATACTTATAAGGTACACTAAAAATCTATCCTAACATAGCAAAATATACCATGCAATTCCCATTTGAGTAGTTTCTATAAAATCAAAACACAGATGTCCTTTTCCCACTGTGGCTTGACTAATAATGACTAGTAGAGGGTTCCTCACATTCAACAATCAATAGGTAGATGATCAAGCATTTACCAAAGCGCCCCCTCTATTTTTCCCAAAAAGGCTATTGAATTAACGCATGTAAAATAGTATAATAGCCATTATTTGCTAGGATTGTATGGGTACGCATATTCACAGATAGAATGATAGAACCGTTTTTGCAACAATACCAAATCTATAAGACGGCCCTAGATATCATTAAAATCATATTATCCTAAGATATAGACACATTTAATTTTCTACAATTTTATCCAATTTCTATCATTTATGACTTATCATCCTTTTTCTACTCTCCGGTTATTTAACGTAAATATCGAACATCACCTTTTCAAGAGGTAAACCATCAGAAAACATCTATAAATGGGCCATTGCTATTGTTCTTGTCGCGAAATCGCAGGTGGTTTGGGCGATTTCCTGGCTGGGAGCTACCTGGCAGGATGGAGAGAAGTGGCAGGCTGAAAGGGAGACCCATTTCTACACCTCAGTAAACTATCATAAGTATGGACAATATAATTTTTAATAGATCAACCGGGAAACCAACTGTCAATGGCCCATTTCCACTTGCCAATTGATGGGGATTTAATGGTGATGAATGGTGATTAATGCTAATAGTGGGATGCAACCATCAACATTAGGGATTATGCGAGGGATAATGGAGACTAAAAAACGTGAACTACTTTAATTTACCCAGACTACATCAAAACTGGTTGGTGGTTTGGAACATTTCTTATTTTTCATTTCATATATGGGATAATCATTCCCATTGACTTTCATATTTTTCAGAGGGGTAGGTCAACTACCAACCAGATATAATATAATATTATAGTGTTAGAAATATTATATTCATACATACATATCCAACTATATTAATCAGTTAACCAACCAGAAAATATCGATGACACCAATCCATTTCTGGAACTGCTTTTCGATACCCCTTGGGATTTCAACCTCATCCGGAAGTTTTTGTCCAGTGCAAAAAAACGGTCGGCTTGCTGGAAAATCACCCGTTAAACGCTAACATAACATAACATAACTACGTATGGTTAAGCATCAAACATAGCTAGAATGACGGTTAATGAACTATTGCCATACTTGGCTCTATTGTTAAGACGGTTAGAATATGTTTGATAGTTACGTTTTTACCTGATAGTTTGATTTAGATCACCATTAGTCGTCACCAGTTTGTTGGTTTTTGCTCACCTTTAGATAATCATTTGACAGTTAATTTATCCCTTTTACTGTATCTCATTATCCCTATAGAAAAGCAGACTATAGTTACCCATAATTATAATTAGACTTAGATAAGCATAGACACCAATAGTTATATATATATATCTCCCTATAGTTAGCAGTTATATATACGTATATATATATTATATCCCTGTAGTTACCCATAGTCAATACAGCAATACAGCTATCGTGAATGGGACCATAGGAAATAGTTCATATAGCTATATTAATTATAGGGAAATCCATGGGAATATTAAGTATATATGTATATTACAGAACTATATGGATGATCCATGGGCATATAGCAATATTAACTATATTGCATAACTATACCCTTGTAGGTATATAAATGTCGGAGCTATGTTAAAGACATATCAACCAACAATCTCTTAATATAGATATAGCTATGTTCCTTATATCACATATATATACATATCTTGCTATACCCTTGTAGGTATATCACTATATATATATAAGTACATATAACATATCAACCAGCGATATATATATATATAGCTATGTTAATTATATCACTATATATTTGGTGGCTCATCCCACTTACTAAGCAGGTTATATCTCTGGTTATAGGTGGGATAATTAGGGTTAATCTACCTACAACTAGGGTTACAACCCACTTAGCAAGTGGGATGAGCCACCAAGTATGTGTATATATGTATATATAGCCTCGTCCTCGGTCTTGGAACTGCGCACAACCCGAAATAATTAGGTTGGAAAAACTTGTCAATTCCGGGACGAAATTTTGTCCCGGAATTGACAAGTTTCATTAGGGTCATCATCATCATCATCATCATCATCATCATCATCATCATCATCATCATCATCACATCACCAGCAGCATTATATCATCATCATCATCATCATCATCATCATCTGCAAGTTCACATGAACGTTAACATCCCACCCCATCCCCCCGCCACCCCACCCCGCGTGTGCGTAGCATCAACTGCTTTTGCAAGTTCACATGAACGTTAACATCCCACCCCATCCCCCCACCCCATCGTATGTAGTTCGAAGACCGGGGACGAGCTTATATATACAAGGTGGTGCCCCCCCAGTTATAAATGGGTCATAATCCTATTAACTAGTTCGATATATCACCTACAAACCATAGTTATTGGACTTATAAACCAACTTGGCTAACTATGGGGCACCACCTTGTATACCCTTTGGTTATTTAACAGTTCGCCTTGGAAAATCACCATGCTATTAATAGGTAAACCATCAGGCAACTGGGGTATCTATACCATGGCTATGTTCAATAACCAGAGGGTATATATATATGGATATCCCCAAAAATGGATTGTTTACAATGGAAAATCCCATAAATGGATTGGTGGTACACCCATTTCAGGAAACCTCCATAGAATGGAAAACCAATGGTATACTTAACTGTAGATATATCACCTCTTAGTTATATCTTAGCCATAGATATAACTATAGATATATAACTGATGGTTAACTTAGCTTAATTATCTACAGTTATATCTATATGAACTTAGCCATAGATATATCTTGATGGTTAATACAGCTAGGTCGTGTACCAAGGCCTGGCAGTGCTCTTGGGCTGGGCCGTGGCCAGACGAAGGGATCCCATCTTCGCCTGTCAAGCGGCCTCGATGCTGGTGCGAAGAGCCTGTAAGGTGCGGCTGTCATGGTGATTTCATGGTGATTTCATGGTGATTTCATGGTGATTTCATGGCGATTTAATGGTGATTTCATGGTGATTTCATGGTGATCTCATGGTGATTTAATGGCGATTTAATGGTGATTGAATCATTTAATCAACACACATGGTGATTTCATAGGGATTTCAGCAGTAAAAACGATGATTTCAGCCAAAATCTGAGAGTTTTTTGACGGGATAGCAGACAAAATGATGCAGACTTGAGTGACACCGGATTCTGAAATAGTGATGACGTACATCTCTATCTTATTTTTGGGTGGTATTATTGCAGTTTGCCCAGATGCTTGTGAAAAAAGGCTCTAGCTGTCTAGCTACCCACTGTTTGTTCCCTCTCCAGTTTCGGTGAGATATCCTGATTCTTGGTTGAGGCATTTTTCCATTGATGACATTTCTTAAACATGAGCATTCGCAGCATTCATATACTTGATCCTGACTTGATACTGCTTGTCCCGACCAAAATCATCAAGATGGGAAGATTATTGTTGTATGATTATAGTTTTTTCAGGGATTATATCAAGATTATTGGTTGTGTCTTTGTATGACCATAATCTTGATTATAATCCTTTTAACTATATTTTAATTATTATAACAATGATCATATGTATGATTATATCATAATTAAAGGAATGATAATTGTGATTGCGACATCTCCTCATCAGTGGGATGGTGTTACTTTTTTGGGTACTCAGTGCCCATTTGTTCCAGATGTTTCCTGTAGCATATAGGATATATCATGGGATATAGATAGCAATTTTTCGGGTTTAACCAAGAATTTTCATGGGATTTAACGAACAACAATGGGATTTTTCACAAACCGTAACCTAACCATTATTGAAGCAACATTTCCAGTGTAGCAGCTTAGCCAGTTGTTTAGGATGATTTTTTCTTCGTTATCGTAATTTTCGGTTGCTCAAATCCAGCTGGCACCCATCAATGCGGTTGGTTTTCCAACCATAACTGAACCATCAATAAACATCCAACGTCTGATCTTTTTCTGTACAAAGATCTACATATGACCATACGTTTGACTATATAGAACAATACTTAGTCATCAAACCTCACCATATATATATATAGATATAGATATATATATATATAGATGTAGATATAGATATAGATATAGATATAGATTTATATATATATAGATTTATATATATATATGTTTTGATTTCCCCAGCTCCTCATATTTCTGCCAGGTGGCTTATGACCAGAAGAAGCGCTCCATGGTCGCCCCGGACGTCTTGGACGAAGTGGGCTCCACCTTTGAAGAACTCTGCCCCTCCAGGTGAGGCCGAGGACACGGAGAGCGCGGCGGATGGGGGTAGAGGTTTGAACTAAGGGAGTTAACTCGTTATCACATATCTATATATAGTAATATATATATAGTAATATATATATATAGTAATATATATATAGTAATATATAGAGTGTAATATATATATATATGTATAATATAGATATAATAGGTTTAAAGTGAGTATACAGAAGTCGCTTTGGTTCGAAATCGTTATTTGTGAGTGATCACATTTTGATTTAGTAGCCCCGAGTCATAGATAGAACAGCTGTGCACCTGGAAATATGAAGTAAAAATCATCTATAACATCTTGGAAACACTTTTCTATCCTTTTTGGGGTTGCTATGAGTGATATTATTGCACGTTTAGGATATACTGTATATATATATACACAGCTCTATTTACAAGGTATAACAACTGCTGTAACAAATATATACAAATATGACAGTTATAGTAAGTGAGGGTTAACTGGGTTAATACTGATACAACTAGGTTAATTGGTATAAGCAACAACTGGTGCGTAGGTTATTTTGTAGTTAGCCGGTTCAGCGAATGGTGCTATAACTGGATTAATCCGGGTACAACTCGGCGACCATCGGTGGAGATGATGTTTGATAAGTGGAGAACACAATGACGGCGTAATTATTACCAAAAGTTACAGGTATTATATAGGTATTAGACCTTTAGAATCCCCGAAGAGGTTTGGAATTCAGATTCAAGTGGTTTTACATCTAATGAAATTATACCCAAGTCACTCAATCATAAACCATGAATGGAGGGCATTCAATATTTTCCTCAGTTCTGGGCGTCTACTAGATTGGGTTTATCACATTGCAGTGAACCAAGTGAATCATTTACCATCTGGTTATGACTAACAGTTCGCCATAAAAATCACCATTTTTGATAGGTAAACCATCTATAAATGGGCCATCTATACCATGGCTGTGTTAAATAACCAGAGGGTACATAGATTCCGTATGGATGGGTCCGGCTATTTTACACTCAGCTCTTTTGGAGTTTATTCAGATGTTCTGGAGATTTGAGGCGAAGCCTATCTTCTCATTGTGATTTAGTCAATGTGGCCCTAAACCATGCCCAAAAAAAAGGCCTAATGATCCTAATATTACCTTAGATGTGGTAAACACCATCCCCCAAATGGCAGGCTTATTATTGGCTTTACCACATTGTATGTCTGAACCCTCAATTTTTTACACCAAATCTTGAACATCTTTTTCAAATGTGAACTCAGCTCCCCAGCACTGGCGCACAGGATGAAAGTCGAAGGTGCCAATGACCACCTACGCTGTGCCAAGGATGGACCATGGCGAAGAAAATGCTGCGGAGCGCGTCGCGTTGAATTTGATCAGGTACCTGGATCGTACCCCAAAATAGTTGGTTCATGGATGGTTATTCATATGTAATATAACCTGTTATCCATTAACCAACTATTTTGTAGTAAATAAAACCAACATAGATGGTTTTAAATATGATGATTCCCGAAAATACGTAGTAATCATATGTTTCATAACAGGTTTTAATCCATCCCCATTTTTTGGATAGATAAAATGGGATATTCAGATAGCAATTTCTCGGATTTAACCAAGAATTTTTAATGGGATTTAACCAACAATAGTAGAATATATAATGGGCATATCATTGGAATATTTTTTGGGATATAGATAGCCAACTTAATTTACACAAGGGAATATTTCTGGATCTTTTATGGGAATATCATGGGGACCTGATGGAATATTTAAGAGGATCTAGCCAACAATGGTAGAACTTGATTTCTGATCTAGCCGGGCGTGTCTGAAAATGGGGGATACATCAATTCATGGCGATTTTTTTTGGGGAACTCAATGATTTTTTCCATGTTTTGAAAGGTTTCCCACTATTTTCAGCGGAACGCTTGCGAGAACTTAGCTATGAGGTGAGGCGAGTTTGAGGCCCCTTCAGGGTAGGCGTGTCCATTCGGCAAGGTTTTTTCTGCAGATGACATGGGGTATACATCAAACTAGCCAGGAAAATCTTAGTAGTAAAATAGTAATAATCATAGTATTACTATGCATGATGATTTTTCGACTCAGTAGAAATCTGCCTGGGTACCTCCGTTTTCGTCTTGAACTTTGACCATCTTTGACTACTACCGATCTCCAAGGGACCACATCCCAAAGTGATGTTGGTAATATCCCCTTTTGATATTTTTGGAGGAGACGAAACTTGCTTGGAACATCTTGGAACCCCAGAAGTTTGCCTTTAGTGGGTGGAACACTTGATGTTTGGGGTAGGTATGTAACCCCATTCGATCCCATTCGATTCCTCATTGGTCGATTCCAATGCTTGTGACCCTTGGAGCTTCAACCACTGGCATGATCCTCCAAGGTAATTTGGGGGATTTTGATCACTTATAAATACTTATGATATCCATAAATCATCATAAATCCATATAAATTCAATATCTTGCATGTGTATGGTACATATTTATCTCATATATCATTATCTATCTATCTTTCTGTATAGATCCATATATCTTTCATAGAGAGTATGTATATGGTATATCTATCTCTATGTATATAGGTCGAGTATGCTAAGATATTTTCGGGCAGACCCACGACTCCACGACCCAGGTCACCGGGAGCCTGTCTGGGGAGCCCAGTTTTTTGGGAAAAATTGGATGATTCACCAGTGGAGTTTGAGCAACATGCGCAGGGGTTCAAGAACAATTCACAGCCTTAGAAATTGATGTTGAATTTTCACCAACAAATTTTTGGATTTGAATGTTAAACATAGGGTTCAGACAAACCCAACCATGAAGATTTGTCAACCCCCCTTTGGGGGGACATGGTGAATGTTCAAGCGCAAGGATTGGGAATGAAGTGGGGTTGTCTTCATGCACGAAGAGATTGCTGGTGGTTTGATGACCATATTCCCTTGAATTGCCATCTGGTAGTCAAAGGTGGCTGGCTGGGAAATGCCCGAACTAAATGAGGGCTTAATGGGAAAATCATCGAACTCAATGTGGAATTTTCCAGCTTGCCACGGTTTGGTGACCGGAGGGTAGGTTTCAAGGCATCACTTGTTTGCAATCCAAGGGCAACAGCTTTTTGAGGACCAGCAAGAGTGGGATCGGACTAATCTATGGAATATACAAAAACTGGGTCCAAAAGACCCAAAGCAGAACTACAGCAAGAAGGACGGAAATACATCGCAGGTAATGAGCCCAATTTTACATGGTAACAATGATAACGTCCTCATGGCTTTTCGTAGTTGCTTTGGATCCTTAAATTTGGTTGCCTCACATCCCAAGTCTTGTTGCTTCCAATTTCTATACCTCAAACTCGTTTGTTGGGCTATCAGAAAGCTCCATTCCTGCGAAACAAAAGTCATCTGGTTGGTGGTTTGGAACATTATATTTTTTTCTCATATATATATAATATATATATATTTATATTGGGAATAATACTCCCAATTGACTTTCATATTTTTCAGAGGGCTGGCTCAAGCACCAACCACTCATGTTTTCCAGAAAAACTCCGAGCGATTGCGGAAGTGATACGTCCCAGGCGGAGGCTGAGCCGCTGCCACATGGCTTTCAGGTGCAGACTACCCTCTGGTTATGACTAACATAGCTATTGAAAATGGCCATTTATAGTGGATTTTCCCATGAAAAATGGGTGGATTTTCCATAGCTATGAACACATCAGAATTTGATAGAAATTAATAGGACTTGAAATAGTGATTCTGCAAGCGTTCAAGTTAGAGATTTCAGAAAATGAAGAATGGAACATGAGGGGCTATTCGTTTTTGAATGGACGCACATGAATACATGATATATATATAGACAATATGACTTAAACCATAGCTAACCCGATAAAGTAAGGATTTAACAATCTTTAAATGGGGAGTTTACAATCGTTCAAATGGGAAATCGGGCATTTACCCCTCACAAATGAGGGTGTAAACATGACAAGAATCAGAACAGAGTTGAGATATTGGCTCTAAAATGATTAATGATTTTCATGTTAAATATATCCATTGGCTCATGTTAATCATGAAAAAACATTCTTCCAAAAATAATGAGTGTATCATAGTTTTTTTCTGTTTCTCATTGGCTCTACACCCAAAATCCACCAGTTTCTGGCGGTTAAAGTCCCATGTTTGTTTCAACCCAGGCATCGTTCGCCAGATCCCACTTTTTGAAAGATGAAGTTCTGCCAGTGAAAAATAATGGGATACATATATAACTAATAAATTACTAATAATGGCATAGTAATGGGATATCCATTTACATATATATATATATATGTATATATATATATATATATACTGTATATATCTCCAACTATAGCCCATGAGTAGTTATATATCCAAGACATTCTCCCATAATGATCCCCATAAATTCCACGAAGATCTCCATATTTTTCTGTCGAAACGGTCGTTTCTCCAGGTGCGCTTGAGCAACATCCCGCAGGAGCTGACTGCGCGAGACTTGGCGGAGGCGATCCTCCGATGGGGACGGCTGGATTACTTTCCTGGGAATCAATGAAAAAACATCCACCATTTGGAGTGGATTTAGCCATTAAAACATCATAAAAACTATATATATATAAAACAAGATCTGGTCGGTGGTGGCTTGGAAGCATGGAATTTTGAATGACTTTCGATTCAGTTGGGAATGGAGAAATCATCCCAACTGACGAACTCCATCATTTTTCGGAGGGGTTGAAACCACCAACCAGTATATAACACATCATAAAGACCATCAATTTCTAAGGGATGTTGAATTGCCATGATTGATTCCCGAAGAGTAAACATGTTCAATTTATGGTAAACAGTTGGGGTTTAGTCAACACGAATTGTTTTTGTTTTTGTTTTGATTTACTCATCAAGAATTGATGATACGGGTTGGAAGACAGTTACTTGGAGGAATGGTACACACGACCGCACTTGGAGGATATTATCTTCACCAACTATCCAAGATATCCATTCCGGCGA